TAAACAGCTCAACTATGCAACTGCATTACAGAATTCAAAGGTATTTCTAATTTGTGGTAAGACTAATTCTGTGATGGCACCACTTGGCAAAATAATGTATTGCAAGCATGTGAAAATAAATGAAAAACAAACTGGACAGACTAGTGTAATTTTCAGTAAACCTTTTTAAAGTGTCCATTTAATATTATGTATTAACACTACTGAAATGACAGATTTTCTTGAAGAAAATCACTGAATCCAAAATCCTACAAGGCATACTTAAAACTGCATTTCACTGCATTGCTGAATGAGATCTGATTACCTCAGAAACAGCATCATTCTGAAGTAATTTTTCCACTTGATCAACTAAAGTGACCCTGATAGAGCTTCCTTTAAAAAGACGAAGGCAGATGGATTTTTAGAAAGGACTTTAAATGCTGAGATCTTTTCTACTTAATTCCTCAGATGTAATTATAATACGATCTCTCCATTAGTGTGCAAGTGACATTCAGATCCAAAGTCCCTGCATCTATGGCCTACGTGAATCCTACCAATCTACATCTGAGTTAATTCTATATCCACTTAATATTCTTCACCCATTAAGGATTTTTTGCACTGTCTTGCACACAATTATAATGTTCTAACATAATTATAATGCTCCAGTATACAAATCAATATGGCTGTGAAGTTTACCCTAGTTTAAGAAACACATTGAGTCGTCTACCTTAAAGAATCTCACAATTTTTCTGCATTTCAGCAGAAAGCTTGATACATGCTAATGTGAGCACATATCCATTAAAACACAGATATGCATAGAGAAAATCATTCAAGATGAAAACTGCAGCATTAAATGAGGAAGGAAAAAAATGTTCAGCTAACCTATCTACAGGTTAAAACACTCTCTGACCAGACTTCTTTTTTTGTAAAGCACAAAATACTCCCTTGTATGCTAGCATTAATATGATTTAATCTGATAGGAAGAAGAGAAAATTTAAAACTAACATTACTGAGTTAACATTAGAAGAAAAATTACAAAGCACAGAGTAAGATTAGTAAGACAGTGACACCACTAATATCACTGTTATTATGGAAGTGCCGAAATGTGCATTTTAAGCTTCTTAAAAGGAGCAAATACACTCATCTTCAACTGCACAACACACCCTAACAACCTCTGGATGTTTTAGAGCACAGAGACCACTAGTCCTTCCCCTTCCCTAATCTTTGGTAGCAGAGCATCTGAAAGATACTAAGAGTAGGATATTCAATGAGACTACCCTTTTTCATCAAGTTTGTGCAAGATAGAAAGGAATACAAGAATTATGGCAAATACAATTTTACAGCTTACCAACTTCAGCAAAACCCCTATTAACAGACTTTCATATCATCTCATCATTGACAAGAATAATTTTTCAGATACTATACAACTTTGATGGAAGTTATTACTCTTAAAGAGATGTCATGAATTTTCATTTTAGTAGCTCTACTTGACTTTTCTTGACTATGAAATATCATGTACATACATCAATAGAGTACCCAAATAACTTCCACAGACTAAGTGGAGTGAATACCATCGCTAGGACAACCCTTCAAGGAGAAATATAAGACCAGTTACAATTAAGAAAGTCTTGCAATATGATATTCTCTTTGTCACTGCAAAGTTTCTGCTGATGTGAATGAATATTGTAAAGCAACATGGCAGAAAGATGCTTTTGACATTCTTGTTCAAATAAAGAGCTTCAAATTAAAACATAATATCCTGCCCTTACGCCTTTTAAGTCAAATCTCTCATCTACATAAGCAGATGGATTCACAGTACATACTTACTTGTGAAAGCTCAGCACTTTAAAGGAAAATGTGACTAACGTAAAATCCAAAGAATCAGCAATAGCTGTCACCAGGGAAAGACAGATCCTTTCATTACCTGAATTAACAATAACAAAAAATTGTCCTAGTTACTCTTGATGAATCCTGATACAGGTTTTAAAATTATATCTGTTCAGCTTCCGTTATCAAGAGAGAAAAAAGTCACCCTTAATATAACGTTGTTTTTAAATACATTATTGAAAATACAAAGAATGAAATTTGGGATTTATTTTTACCATTTTCAGATCAAATGACCCAAAGATTTGAGATAGGGGAACATGAATGAAGAAGATGAGTACTTTAAGTGTTGAATGGCACAACATAACCTTGCATGTGTTCAAAACTGCTGACAGTACATTTTGAGAGAATTCTGTAGTAAATTGGCTTATTTCATAAATACCTTCTATTTTGATAATTTTTCAACTGTGCTTAAGTAATGTCTGCGCATGCCACAATACAGACTTGATTACAGTATTCCCATCTTGCCTTATTCAGGGTAAGAGCACCTTAACTTCATAAATAAAGCCATTCAAATCACTGAAATGGCTTGAAGAATGGTATAATACTCTACTGAAGCAAAGGAATCTTAACAATCTATTCCCTTGAGTTCGTAATAACAACATGAAGCACTACATATAAAAATGAAAGCGTACCAATATTTCACAGAAAAAGGCTTCAGCAAAGAAATCACATCCTTATAGCAAATGAAGGCTATGTTTCATAGTTTGTAATCTTTATGGATATAGCATTCTGCTCAGATACAGTACAGTGAAATATCAGAATCGCAGGCTGTTTAAAAAGGTAATAAATACATCACACAACCTACTAATGCATAACGTTTTCAAGCAAATGTGCATGCCTAAATATGTTGTATTGCCTGCAAAGCTACATGAAATATTTTTCAATATGTATGTTACTTATGTAAATAGTAGATCACCTTCTTCAGTTGCTAGAATCGACACCTTTCATTACTAAAGCAAGCTTTAAACAGGCGTAAGCCAGAACTGCTGTCCAAATGCCTGGCCCCGTCTTCCTTCTCCCCCATTCTCACTCTTTGCTTTGCATCAGCAAAAATCACATGTCACTACCGTGAACCACATCAAAAAAACTGGTCTGGATCACAGGACAGCTCCTTTCAGTGCATGTGTTGGCTTACGATGGCTTAATCTACAGTGAGAAAGGAAAGTCTTCACCCAAACTCTGAAAGATTTAGAAATTCCTACTGGCAAGATAAAGAAATCATACTGTTTTGGTAATATTAAAGTCCCTTCTGAGTTTCTGAATATGGCTGTTTTTGCAATATTTGTCTGCATACTACATTAATAAAATAAGAAATGGAACAGTTCTAGCTGTAAACAGGATGCAACTGAAGACTGTACAACAAATGTTTATTCTACAAAAAAAAAGTAATTGTTAGAAATTGATGGTATAACACATATGTACTGCCAATTCACTAATGCTGGAAAGATATTACAAAGATGAAAAACCATTAAATAATACATTGTTTCATACCACTACCAACCAAATTGTGTAACATCTCTCACCTGGTAATTTACCTAAACCATCATATTATGAGAAATTTAGCATACTGTCAGTCGCAGTTTAGAAAAACAGATTAACTTTCAGTTTTAAAGAGGCATTTAACAAAATGTTTGGAAAGTAAAGCTACTGCCAATATGTGTTTGATTCTGAGTATTCATGTGGTCTATGACTGAAACCTTTTCAAACTGCATTTTTTAAAATGAAATAAAGAACATCCTTGAAGCTCATAAAGTATCCTTTATAGCTATTTTGTGCACTTGGGACTTTCACGCAACCGTATCTGCCTGACCAGAGTAATACTAGTAGGTGGTGCAACAGCACCAGTCAAGTTCTTTGAGCCAGTGTCTGCCCATGAAGGTACTCGTACCTTAAACATTGTTCATCTCAATTCCCGAGACACGTTCTGGTAATAAACACATCAGCAGGGTCTATTACAAACCAATAGTTAATTTAATGAAGACCTCACTACATACTAATGACTACTACTTGCACAGTAGAAAAAGAATCATTCGTTCAAGTCCACTCTTTCAAAGGGCTACCTTCATTAAGCTGAGAGTTTGTTTACTATCCAGAATAAAAGTCCCTGTAATTGAAAAACTGAATCATGACATAGCATGAAAAAATACTGCACCTCCCAGAGGGAGAGGGCAACACACACATGCATAATTGCTTCTGCATTCAAAGACATGCTTCTGCTTTACACTCAGGTGACATTCTCACACTTTCAACCCTTTGGGGGAAGGCAAAGGGCAATTCAAACTTGTATGTTAACGCTTTAATGTTAAAGATCCAAATTCTGATCTGAGCTAAAAGTGTTTCTTCTAGCAATGAGACATTCATGTAACAGAATCTACCCTTAGATCCTATTATGCAAGAGAAAAACAACTTTCTCAAAACTGAGTGAAAGGATGCTTTCAGACACAGACTTTTAAGAAAACCTATGTTGAAAGAAGTTGGTGAAATGCACTTGAGTGGAACAAACTGAAAATCTGACACTACCCTATAGTCAAATCTTTGACCATCAACTGGAAGGATACAAAAGCAGAAAAGGTGGTGAAACTGGAGAGAATAGCACTACTAATTTACCTAAGCAGCCAATTCATCTCAACAATTTAACAAGAGGTTCTACTTCAATATTAAGCCATCAAAACACAAATCCCCTCTTATTTCTATTAAAAACATGTAGGGTTTTTTTAGACCAACAACAGCTTTTTACTTTTCATGCAACATTTCTGGACTATGAGTCACTAAAAACAAATAACCACGAAGTACTTGAATACTACCACTATCTATCCAGAATACCAAACATATTAGAAAATAAGACATTGCAAATATTTGCTTAAGTTTTGGCTTCATGCGTATCTGCATTTTAAAAAGTAAGCTAAAATCTTACTGTATATTCTTACAGTATCTCATGTTCCACCTTCTACAAGTAGTAAGAACATTGTAACAATGAGCACGAGAAGGTAAATATAAGCTTGACAGTACTGCAGTGAAGTAAGTTTTGTTATCCTACTACTTAAAGAAGGTGAAAGGCAAATTTTTACAACCTAGTTTCATTTCAGTTTTATTGAATTGCCTACAATATTCTGTGAGTGCGTGTACACACACAGGCACACACAGAAAAAGTGGTATCTACAAACAGTTTACACAAATATTTACATACATGTTATTTACATAAACTAATATGACTGCGTGATTTTTGACGTAAAAACCATATGCTTCTTGCACATATAACTGTTGCATTGGTCTTACAAAAGTAATATAAACCTTTTGCAACAACTAGCTAAGCACATATCATAGCTGATTCCAAGTTCTTAGAGCTTGCAGGTTTTTAAAAAAATACAATACCTAGAACACTGTTATCAAACAAATATGCTTTATTGGCATCTAAAAACAAAATGCACCCAACATTAAAATGTATTTTTTCATTTTTTAAACCCACTGCAGTACGAGGAACAAATCACAAACACTTACTTTAGAGAAAACAGAGACTATAGTGTAGATTTTACAAAATCACTTTTCATCTCTGTGTTATGCTCCTTAAATAACATGGGCCATTTCTTTCTCTGCCGAATTGTAGGAACACAAAATATCACAGCTTTGTCTATACTTTAAAATTCTGCAGCAGCCTAAAAACACGGACAAGATACACCAGCACCTGTTTTCAAGTATAACAATTTCGATAGCCAACCTAAGGGTAGTATCTAAAAAATTCCATTTTCTTCCATAGGAAGTCTTTGTTTGACAAGCTGTTATTTTATCTTTGTGAAACTAAAAGCAAGTGGGGGCAAGCTTATGCTTTACCAGAGAAATAAAAAAATGTTTACCTACCATGTTCAAATTAAGAACAGTGTTCTATACAAGTCAGTTGTACAGTTATTTAAGTGAAAGGTGAACATGAACATCAGATTAACTTAATTCTGGCAGACAAAAGTGAACTGCTACGGTCCAGTCAGCCATTTATCTATTACAGAGAGATGACAACTTTACAAAAGGTATCTTTTACCTACTGAGTGATGATTATGTCCCCTCAGTTTCTGTGCTTTCTACCACTGGTTCACTTTCTATATCAGCTTCTGTGTCACTCTTCTCTTTGTTTATCTCGACGGAAGATGACAGTTTTTCATAAAGTTCTGGATCGTCCTGCACCTGTGCAGTTGGTGGCTGACTTTCTGTCTCTGTATTTTCACCGTTCACCTGGGGCATATTATCGGCTTTGCGTTGGGAAGTGGCCCCATCAAAATACTCAAAAACCCGTGGATGTGGAGGGGGGATCCAGTTGTTTGACATTCTGTCTCTTCCAAACCTGTTCCCATTAATTTCTCTGGAAAAATTAAAATCTCTGTCATCCCTATCCCTCTGTCTTTCCCAGGGTCTTCTGCGGTCATCAAAATCTCTGTGAGCATCTTGTTCAAATCCTCTGTTCCAATTGGGACCACTTCTACTATCAAACCTATAGTTCACATGCCGAAACCTCTCTCTGTCTTCATGGAAGCCCTTAGGACCACCATAAATAGGGAAGGTATGGTGCTCCCTCTCATCATAATCTCCTCTCTGTCCCCAGTGCTTGTCTGAATTGAAACCAAAATGCTCTCTTCGACCAAGGTTATCTATACTCGGTCTTCCAAAATTTTCTCTCATGTCTATGTGTGGCCTTGCAAAGTGTTCTCTTCCATCTATTGGAGGCCTTCCCATACCCTCTCTTGGATCAACTGGTGGTCGTCCAACAGAATCTCTGACATCCACTGGAGATGGTCTGTTAAGATTATCTCTGTTTTCCACTGGAGGAAAGCGATAATCTCTGTCTCCTTCCT